CATCACAAAAGTTCATTTTACAGTATCGAACTATCTTGTGTAGTTATTTTATGATAAACATTTGTAAATAACATTTTTTTCCTTCATTTTTTGCTTTTATTCTTTTTTATTATAAATAAAATACACCAATCTGAAAAAATAACACATTTTAATAGCGATGCATGCATACCGTATCAGAACACATAACATGTACACTTGAATTCTTTTAAATATTAAATTTTTAGATTTTCTTTAAATGTGATTAAAGGCGGTATGATTTTAGAATAAATTGCATTTGTGCGTTTGTAATTTGCACAACATGCAGTTGAACTGATCGCACTAATATTTTAATATTGCCCATATACTTTTGCGTGTTAATTGTAAAAGTAAATACATATTGACATAGATAGGTAAATGTGTGCATCTGAACGAGTTTTCTTGTTTATTAAAGTTTTATATAATTAAAAATTTTTCGCCCCTAAATACCCATTGTAAGGCTTTCCTGTATTCCTATACGACTAATAAGCAAAATAAGAGTGTTATGTGGTTTTAAAGGTAGTATACAAGAAAAATTTTAAAATTACGAAGATTTTGTGTAGCGAGGAAACTTTAATTTAGGAGTTGATCTCAGTTTTTCAGTAGGTAAACAAATTCTATTATACTGTAGAGAGTTGGTACGGTCTATTTTTCTCTGATAATATTTTTACCAAGTTTTATATACCAAAAATGAATTATCAAATGGAAAAACTTCTGATAGTTCAATTAATCCCTTAAATAATTATATTTCTTTAGGGCTATGGCAGATATACAATTTTTAGTTTTGCCACTATTTGATTGATTATTTGTATTCCATAGGCTCATATTTTGCCGGGCAACCATGCAACTGCTCGATCGCATTCGTTTAAGTAATCAAACAGTTTGCAAAACTAAAAATTGCGTGTTTGCCAAAACCCTTAATCTAGCGAATTATTCAAATAAAATCTTATAGTACTCATGATCAACGCCATTTTCATCCTTTCACTTTTGTTTTTTATTTTTTTTTTTTTTTTGATACACACATATTTTCAATTTTATTTTTTTCGTTTTTGCTGTTTTATTTTTAATTTTTCATAAAAAATATTCATAAAAATTTAAAAATTAACAAAAAAAAAATTTTTTGTATACAAAATAAACAACAGGATTTTTGTTCCTTTTTTTTTCTCAGTTTTCTTCTTTTTATGTTTTATGTGTGTTTTGATTCTTTTTAAAAATGCATTACACTTTACTTCACGCTTTATAATACAAATTTAAGAACACATAAACAACAAAAACACAAACATCACCAATATGTATTTTTTTTTGCTTACAACACTGTTAAAGCCCATTTATGCAGTTATGTATATAACATTTACAGAGCTACTTATAAACAAAACCAAAAAAAATATGAGAGAGAAATCTCTTTTCATACCATTCTGTGTATGCACCTTCTAGATGATCATCAAAATTATGATTTTATGATTAAAAATAATAAAGAGAAAATTCAGTATCGCCATACATAGTATAGTATGTAAGTATAGTGTTGTCACTATCAATATTTTATATGCTTACATACATGGTTTGTTTGTATATTAATAATAATTTTTTTTGTTTTTGTTCTTAATACTGTGACATTTTCATTTTCATATAAAATAGGACTTGTTTTTGTACATTAATTTTCATATATGAAATTAGAATTTTCGATACAGACTTTTGGTATTTTAAAATTATGGAAAAGAAGAAGAAGAGAATACAAGACAAAAAAAAACTCACAGAAGATGAAGATGATCTGTGAATATTGTAAAGCGAGTGTAAAAGGAAAAAAATAAAAGAAAAGGAGCAAAATAGTATCTTTAGATCACAAGAAAAATTTTTTCATTTTCTTTTTTTTTTTTTCAGAAAAAAAAATTATTTTTTATTGAAAATACTTACACTTTTATAGTTCACTATTAGTTGATTTGTTATTTTCGGCGCATTTGCATTCTAAATGTATTACGCATCGGTATACTTTATATACTTCATTATTATACGTATATAATATACTTATAAATAAATAAAGAATTAAAACGTGAGCAAATTATAGTATAATAAAAATATTTTTAATAATTAATTATTAAAATAAAAATTTAATAATTTTTAAATTTTAATTCATAAATTTATTAATTTTTTTATTTTAATATAAAATTAAATAGTAAATTAATTTTTTTATATATTTTATTATACACATGATTATAAAAAATTTTAATGTTCAACACAAAATCAAAAATATAAATATGTATTAATAAATAAGAGAAATAATTTTTAATATTCTTGTTTAAAATTTGTTCTTCTATATATACAAATATATATATACAATATTTTGTGTGCAATAAACAAAACATATTTAAAAAAAGAAACAACAACCCGCATTTACCATAATAAATAACACTAAATTATATTTTATAATGTGTTCAGATGAAATATAAAATGTATATATGTACATATATAATTTGTATAAATAAAAATAATGACACTAAAAATTTCAAAAAGAAAACATGAGTGATATAAAAAAAAAAAATTGGCAACGATTTCGACAACGACAACGCTAGAAATAACGCCAAAATAATAATATTACAAGTATATAGTGAATATATATATATATATATACGAACAAATAAGAATAAAATTAAATTAAATACGACATACATAATAACATATATTATTTATGAATATATAGAATAAAATATACAACTAGTTATAATACAAGAACATAATATGAGATTATTTTTCATTTTTTTCTTATTTTTGTATAAGAGAGATAAGTGAAAAACGATTATTGAAACATGAAACATTTTTAAAATGGAAAATAATAAAAAAAAAGCAACAATTCATAAAAAAAATATTAAGTGATTTATAGTAATTATACAATATAAAAATATTAAGTATACAAAATAGACACTTATACCCGAAAATATACACATATACATATATTGTATATTTTACATAAATTTAATACATTTTGTGTGAAAGATTATTTGAAATTATACACGCGAAATTTTGGCTCAAAGCCGAGGAGTAGCGTATAAATTTTGCAACAAAAAAAAACAAAAAATGACAATATTTGAGCAAAAAGCAAAAAAAAATAAAATGGAAACGAAAATTTATTGCTGATTTATTTTTTGATTTTCTTTTAATTTGATGTACATACAATATTTTCCATTTTCACTATTTTCATTTTTTCCAATTTATTTTTTTGTTGTTTTCTTGTGCCTTTCATTATTTGATATTTAGAAGAATTTAAAAAAGCCGCAACAAATAACACTAGAAATAATCTTTAATTTTTCAATTCTTTAATAAAGAAGCTGTTAATTACAACATATTATTATACATATAACACAATATAATATACAGCTACGTATTGTGAATTTAAATTGACGTATAACACAATATTATATCGTATTATACTTGTATACGATATATGCGTAATTTTAAATCGCTCTATTTCATTCTTCTTTTAAGATCTGTCAAGTGTTAAATAAAAATGTATTTTATATATGTATAATTATTATTATTATTTTAGTGATCAACGCATTACATATATCGGTAGTGCGTATTTCCGTACATACTCTGATATATGTGCCATATTTATTATACGATACGTTTAAAATTATAAATATAGTTTTGGTATACTGCTATACTATATTTATATAGATAATGTTGAAGAAAGAGGAACCTATATAATGAATAATTTATCATAGGGATTTCCCTGTTCGTATATGCATTCTATACGTATATATAGCCTACTATATACAGTTTTGATTGATTTTCAATGTTTGTATACATGTAGAGTAACTCAACAAATCTAATCGTATACGTCATTTAATTTTCATACGATTTAAATTAATTTATTTGAATTGTTCAATAAATAATATATGTGTATATAAAGAATGGCTGCATCATCAGTATTTTAATATTAAGATAAAAGAATTAAAAAATATAAAAGGAAAAAATTTTAATATAGAAGCGCGCAAAAAATCATCCATAGAAAATGCATAATATTGTAATAAAAAGAAAATTACGCGGGAAAATTTCTTACTTTGAAATAAAACATGATCAAACTATTTGTATTTTTCTTTTATAATAAAACAAAAAATACGTACATAATTTTATTTGAAAAAAAAAAATACAACAGAGCAGGAAAAAAAAGAGTCTGCAATATTTTTAATTCATTTTCGAAATTTGTGGTTTTTTCTTTCAAAAGTGATGCTAACATTTTAAATATAGCGTGACATTTTTATTCGCAGCGCACACAACACAAAACTTTTAAAATAAAATAAAATAAAAAAAAAACATTTTTTTTCAAAATAGATGGATGATCTTTACATATTAAATTAGCGGTTATTTCTGGTATTTATAAACATATTAAAAAAAATTAAAGAAGAAAAAAAAATATATTATAGGCAAAATAAATTAAATTAAAAAGTGAGTGAGTGATTCAACATCATTGACAAAAATATTATAAGAGAAAACAAAAATGTATATATATAGATTTTGAGCCAAAAACAGGCGTCACATAATATATAAACAAATTGTATATGTATACATACGTTATGAGTATATACAAGTGCTATACGTCGGTAAATTATAAGCAGAATATGCTGTCATTTTCTTTATTAGACTTAATCTTGGCACGCGTATGGATTAGAGGAATCATTTCCTTTTTGTTTTCCTCAAAATAATAATTATAACAAAAACGAAACAACAAAATAATAAAAATAATAAAAAACTTCAATGCTCATAAAAAAAAATTAAAATTTTGGTCACTTACACTTTTTTTTTGTTAATTTCAATTGAATATTCAAGTTGTAAAGTGGTTTCTTTTTTTATAAGAAGGAAAATTAAATTAGAATTTTATTTTATTTTTTGTTGCAGCTCATAATATAGACATTATTGAATATATTGTTTAATAAAATTTATAAAACAATTAATGTATAAGTAGTTGAAAAAAAAAATTTGAAATTAAGAAAATGTTTCTTAAAACATACAACGATTCTACGTCAATCGTAAATCATAATAATTCTATTAATATTAAACAAACAAAATATTTACAACAACATCAACAACAGCAGCAGCAACATGATAATCAAAATCATCACATAACACAAACTATTTCAATACCAGGCAATACAATAAATTCAACACAATCAGCAACAATAAGTTATAAAATACCATCTTATATAATGAATGATAAATCAATGATACAAGCAACAGATCCATTAAGTCCAAATTTATATTCAACATCATCAAATGGATCAAATTCACCAACACAATTTATTTCAAATAATAATAATAATGAACAAAATTATATTCCATATACGATTTCATCAATTAATTGTAAAACAACATCATCACCAACACCAATATATTCAACAACATTAAATAATTATTTTAATGAAAATTTTTCACAAGTTGATGAATTCATTGATTTTTCAACACTTATTGATAATAATAATGAACAATCATGTATAACATATTTTAATGAATCTTGTCCAACATCAGCAGCATCATATTGTAGTCAAGATAGTTATAATACAACAATAACACCACAATTAATTAAAAAACAAGATGATAAAATGGAAGATGAAACTTTCTCTGATCAAATTATTTCTCCAACAATAAAAAATAATAATAATAATAATAATAATAATAATAATAATAATAATAATAATAATAATGATTGTAGTGAAATATTTAAATTTGAACCAGAAGATATTGAACGTCTTACAAATCAATATAATATTAAACCATCAAAAGAGGATACAATAAATTTAGATATTGAATATTTTAATTATAATGAAATAAATTGTCAATCAAAAAATCAATCACCATGTTCATCACCAACATCATTAGATCCATGGTTAACATTTAATATACAACAAAATCAACAACAATTACAACAAAATATTATTGAATCACCAAAATATGATAATTTTGATACACAAAAATTACCATCAATATCAACAACATTCTCAGGGCAATTCTTGTTATCATCAAATTTAAATAATAGTAATAATATAAATAATGATTGTAATGAACAGAATTTTATTGAAAATATAAATAATAATAATAATGACAGTAATAGTAATAATGATAATCAAAATGAATTATTAATAAATAATGATAATATTAAATTTAATTTAAGTTCAAGTGATGAAATGTCAGATCAAGAGAACACTGATAATATTATTGAAAATTTCTTAAATTTTAATAATCGTAATGAAATTGAAATTGAAAAATCAATACGTTTACATAAAAATATTTGGCCAACAATTATTGATGAAAATATTGACATTAAATTAAAAAATTCTTTAAATTACAACAGTAATAACAATAATAATATAAATTATAATGATTCAACATTATTACAAATTGATGGTGATGATGATGAAGTATTTAGTGAATTAAAAGATGTAATGGAAATTGGTAAATTATCTAATAATAGTAGTAATAATAATTATAATATAGATGAAGAACGTATTATAAGTAGTTCATCAAATTTAATTTGTCTATGGGAAGATTGTCATGAAAATTTTATAAATCAAAGTGCATTAGTTGTACATATTGAGAAACGGCATGTTGAAGTAAAAAAAGGTGAAGAATTTGCATGTTTTTGGGCTGAATGTCCAAGAAGATTTAAACCATTTAATGCCAGATATAAATTATTAATACATATGAGAGTTCATAGTGGTGAAAAACCAAATAAATGCCCAGTAAGTTTTTACATAAAATTTCTTTTTAATTTTTTATTTTTTTTTATATTACACAAAAATTAAATTAAAATCATATTAGTTTTAAATTTTTACTTATTACATAACATAATTATGATGTATTGCTAAGGCCTACGGGATTTGTAAATTATAATTAGTTAAGCAATTTATTTGCCGAATATTTTTGTTCTTTACTGTTTCCGTATAATTGAAATCGCGCAGTAATTTTCTATTTTTGATTCTGTTGAAATAGCGAAATTATTTCATTTCTTATGACTTACCGCCGGCATAACAATAATATTAAAAATTTGTAAAGCATCTATTAACTATTGAAATTGAAAAATTAATTCTAATTATATTGGAATTCAAAATTTGTAAACCAAGCCCCAATATGCAACGATGGCATTAAGTTGAGTTTTTGAATTTAATTTTAAAATTGCAATTGTTTTAAGAAAGTTTTAGGAATTTCAATTTTTTTTTTTCAAATAATTTGAATATTAAAGTCTAAAATAAAACTAAATTTCCGAAATTTTCAAATATTTAATAAAATTTTCAATTAAAATTTAATATAATTTCGATTGATTTTTCAGTAAAACAAACATTCAAAAAATTTTACAATTTCTTGCGGCGGGATGTCCTTTTTTTATGACATTATTTTAATATTTTCATCAGTCATACAGAATTACATAATTCGGAAACATGAAATATAAAAATCGAAACCTTGAGAAAAAATTTAACATATTTTTTTCTTTTTGCAAAAATTTAAAATGAGGAAAAAGGATTCAATCCAGTTAAAATATTTTCACATTAAAAAAAAATATTTATTTACTTGTCTTATATTTTTTTTCGTATATAAAATATATAAGAGTAAATATTGTACACACTTACAACTTTATTTTGTTAAGTATAGAATAAAATACTTAAATTTCAACATTTACATATAAAATAATAAAAAATTGTAGTATGAAATTTAATTTTTTATTAAAAAATAAATAAATAAACAATAGAGTCCTTTAAAAACAAATTTGAAGTAAAAATGATGTAGAATGTTATTTTTCAATAAAAACAGAGTTATTGAATTAGATTAAACAAAAAAAAAAAAATTATTTTTTTATTGTTCTTGTGTTACCCTTCAATATAATGCACATATCTACCACCTACATTACATACATATACTAAAATTTATATTTTTTAAAATAATTGATTAAAAGACCTTTTATTTCGGATGATCACTTAAAAAAATAAACTTTCATTGCCAAAAGCACAAATCCAATGAAATATGTAGGAATACAGATATGCCCATATAAAGGCATTTTGTAAACAACAGGTGCATTTGGGCAACTGCAGGATATTAGAATTTTAAAATTAGCATAGAAATTTTCGTTTAAATATAAATTTCTGTTATGAGAACTACTTTTAAGGCTAATATCGAATGATTTCAATAAACTGAAATTAGACATTAGATACTTCTTATAGACGACCACTGCAGCGATAACTAAACAAATTAATAAAACATAATTGTAAAACTTAATTTTTTTTGTACTCTGAGCTTTTGAAAACTGTTCTGCATCAATATTTGAGGTCGATTTAGGAAGAGAAAATTTTTAACGTGATTTTATAGCATTTGGCCGACAATTCAATTTGTGATACTATATCATTGCAAACATATTTTAACGTTCCTGATATCTAATTCAACTACCTAGCGGGCTCCTTACATTCGATAGAGATTAAACTCCTATGAATCTATTTGACTTATTTAAATTGTCGCTATTTTCTCCAATGTTTAAAGATCATATTTTAGCCCTTTCCCGTCATTTCATTTTCTCATTCCGTCATATTTTTTCCCGTCGTACTTGCAATAAATTCACGCTCGATAATAAGAAATATTAAAAATTATTGTGTTTTTTAAAGCATTACAAGTGAAACTTCGATATTTCACTACTTCCCATATAAATTACCCAATTTTAGCAGGACAAAATGTAAAATAAATTCATTCAAATGTCCAAACCAAAGAATCATTTTATTATAAATGTACGTACGTGTGTATTAATGTGTATATATAAAAAATAATCTAAAATTTCCATATGTTATTTTCCTAATGCCATTTTCTTTTTTTTTTGTTGTGTTGTTCAAATCATCTTAAGGACATGAAAAATAAAAATATAATTTAAGTTAAAAAAATAATAAAGTGTATAGATAGGTTGGTTGTCTTCTTAAAAAATATCTTAGAATTTGTAAAAAAAAAAAAAATTTGTAAGAGGATTCAATAAACATGATAATAAGAAAAAAACATAATAAAACCCTTTCAAGAGCAAAAGACCTTCAAATACAAAAACAAAATTTAAAAATAAGAAAAAAAAAAGAGCTAGAGTTCTAAAATTAAAGGATATTGAAGAAAATATCAAAAGTATGTTGATTTTTTCTTAATGTTGTCCTTTGATGCCATTAGCTAAAACGATTTTTCTTGTTTTTGTCCTTAATTTCAGATTTTATTTTTTGGTTTTTTTTTTTGTTGCTCTTTACTTTCCAAACAATGCTTTTTGTAAATACACGTATTATTTTATTAAAAACAAAAAATTTTACTAAAGCTGTAATGTATGCAATTTCTTATAGGGAGTTTTCTATTTTAGGCTCTTTCTATATGAAAACTAAAATAATAAAAAAAGGATTCTTCCAGTTTTTACTATATTGCATATTTTATAAAAAATTTTCCTATTTACTATTAAGTAAACAACTAAAATATAGCATAAATGTGTATTGGATCTTCCCTACTGAGTATTGAATTTGTTTTTGGAAGAGAAGATTTTAACTTCAATTTACGACACGTTTTTATAATAAGATTTTAAAGGATTGTTGTGAGAATACTTGAATAACTCTATAAATATATATATATATATTGTTTTTTCATATGATAGCTTTAATGTTCAATATTTCATGTGTAAATTGGTAAGCCTTAAAACTGATAAAATTGTAAGCTTGATGACAGTTTTTATATGAACGAAATTCTTTTAATTTTCAATGGTACAAAAGACCATGTAAATTCATTTTCGTTCATAATGATTCTAATTACTAAATAAATTATAACTTTTTTTCCGAGAGTTGTAATTTAGTAACTTTTACTAAATGCAAAATTTTGAAAAATAACTAAATCTGTAAGTCTTCTTTTCTCAGTAATTCAGTTAAGTTAATGACCCTTGATATTTTAAAAATAGCTTGACATTTTGTAGCCTAACTTCTTGTGAATTAATTTTAATTATTATAATACAATAAATTAAACTCTCATTTATACAAAGTGTTTAAAGTGCAGGTGAAGGTTCATGTGTAACGTTCCCAATGTTATTTTTTCTGAAGGTCAATAGCAAAACTCAATATTAATCTGCAGTTCCTGTTAGTGATTGTATATTCGAGAGAAGTAAAAAGAAATAAAAATTGTATAACAGAATCCAATTTAAAATGGTGTTAAATACTGAAATAAATTATTGTAAATTTATAAATTTAAATTAAGAATTTATACTTTAAAAAAAATTTGCAATATTAAAATAATCAAAAATTAGCTCGATGTAATCACGCTATTGTGCCCAAAAAGGGACTCCATTACATTAAAATAATAAGAAATGTGGACAATGCTGCTGAAGTGACAATTTGGTTAATCCATTTACCGTACTTAGAGTTATCCATTTTGATATTTTTATGTAACAAATTCCATTGCTATTAAAAAAACGACAAATTATGCTTTTCAAATTGAGGATTAAAACAAATTTATTAATATTTTAAAATAAAATTCTAAATGTAGATTGCTTTAAATTCAACTTTGTCCTTTGATGTTTCTTAAACTCAATTATTCTTTAAGTTTATGTCTATCTATACCATGAACAGTAAAAACAACTGAACACGCTTCTATTATTTTTCATAATTGTGTCAATCTTAAAATTTTCTATATTTTCAATTTTTTATTATTTTACATTTTTTACTTATAATTTTTTTTTTTATTATTCAACCCGTGTTTTTGGAAAAAAAAGTAAATATTATCCTTAATATTTAAGGGATATTTTCTTGTTTACCCATGTAAGTGGTAGCATTCAAAAGAGCAAAACAGAAAAAAAGAAAAAAACAAAAAGAGAAGAAGAGAATTTTGTTTTTGTTTTCACAAATTCGAGAGAATTACATTTGCTTTTCTTAATATGGTTTTTTTTTTTTGGTTGTGAAGCAGGGGGGTTTAGTTGTTTTCCTCACTTATTTTTAAAAAAGTTGCAAAAATATTTTGTGTAAACATTGTTGAAGGACCTCTATATACTCAGGGTCAGTTATGATACACATACAATTTAGTATACACATACAATTTCAATGAAACTGTTAGTTTCATTTTATTTTACCACCCTCCTCCTCTTTATTTTTGCTAGCCTTAGTTATCTACAGTATAATACACTAGAAATAAGTATATATATGATTTAGTTATGTAACATGCTTGTATGAGTTTTTTTTTTTTTTTGGAATCTTAAATCAAGTTCTAAAATGAAAAATGAATACCAATTTTCAACAATGGTTGAAATCTTTTGAATAAATAGATGAAAAATTTAATATTGTAAATAAAAAATATAGTTTTATGTTTTTTATAACAAATCTATTTTCAAACTGTAACACTGCATAGAGTATTCACAAAGGCACCCTAATGTTGCGTTACATGTAAGTTTACCGTACTTGTTTTGGAATTACTTCATTTTCACTTCTTACTTCATTTTCAAATGAAATTTAGAAAAGGTTGATTATTGTCCGGTAAATAAAAAAATCTATTGCGGTCAGCACAATGTACATCGTCTAAATTTCCAAAGAGCATCGTTTGAATAATATTTTTTGCTTAGGAGTTGTGTGAAATTTTGAAAATATGTTACACATCTATTTACTTTACATTTTAAGAAAATTGTCGAAAGTGGAGATTTTCTTATAGAAACGCTCTGGCGGTTTTGTGTTGCAAAGACGCCATACGAGCTCACTTTTGTCACATTTTCTCTTTTAATGTAACAGAAAACATTTAAACTAATCGGAAAAGGTTTTCAGGAATAACTTCTTACATAAAGGCAAACAATATTCCTTAAAACGCAAAATGACCATACTAAATAAATTTACCATTTGGATAGGTTCTGTTTCAATACAATCAAATACAATTCACACATCGGGACAAGCACTCAAATATGAAATACGCAAAATAAATAGAACGAAACTAAGAAAAAAAGGATTACCATAAAATTATTCCTTTTTCTTAATTTTTATTTTGCTCTTTTTGTTTTGTTTCTGATCCGAATTTAAATTCTTATCAGGATATTCAACAAATTTTGTTGGAGTATATATACTTATTTAAAATTTATTTCCGTTTTCTGAAATTTTTATTTTCACACTAAATAAAACTATCACCGCACTAATACTCCGCACTAATATACTACACAAAAAATTTTAATATAGGATGTTAGTTATCCTTGAAAATGATCCTTGTTTGGAAATGGTCAGGCAAAAGCAAAAAAAAAAACGGACAAAAAATCTTACATATTTGAGTAGGCAAATAAAAAAAAATATTATTCACGTTCTTATGTATGCAAATTCAAGGATAATTAAATTACATCATATTAGATATTTCAGTTCTAACATATGCATAACTAATTTTATATTATAAAATGTAAAGATATTTTAATAAATAAAAGCATTTCGTGTTTTCATTTAAATTTTAAGGATTACGGTCATCGTTATTTGTTTTAAAATAGTGAAATTTTCTCTTCACTTGTTTAAAAAAACTAAAAATTTATTCCCGATCATTTTGTAATAAAAAACAATATGTTGATTTAAATGAAAACCCAAAACTGGGTGTAATGAAGTATTACGTTTAAGGGTGGGACTAGAGAAAAACAATTTCAATAGATTCTGTCCGACAATAATATCAATAAAAGTTCTGAAAGTCTTTAAGTTGTTCGCAACCTTGTTTGTCAAATAATAGACCTATATAACGATTATGTAAGATGTTTCGTTTTCGAGTAATAACTACTATATCGTTAAACGTCCGAGCTCCTACACTAACAAAAATCAAATGATATCGGGAAGTCACCCTCCGGCGGGTGTTTTTCAAGCGTTCGGGAAATGTTTTCCAATTCTCTTGTGGATATCCATCCCGGGATGAAATTTCCTCTTGCCCCATTTGATTTCCTTAAAAATTTATAATACACAATTTATCCCTCGAAAGCTTTAATATGAGTGCTGAAATACTCTGTTATAGATTCTGCTGAGTAGCGAAAAATTGAAATATGAAAATTACCCAAAAACCAAAAAAAGGTTGAGTATATTGGACACAAATAAACGTATAATTTAAATTCCATATATTTTCAGCAATTACATCACGTCTTTCTACTTGTAAAATATTGTTTATTAAAATATTAATGATTCATGGAACTTACTTGGTATTCTATCTTTTAACATTGATTCTCTTACCAGAAACCTGCAAAAATTATTCTAGTTATTCTTAAAATATAAAAGCGTATTGAACATTTTACAGATTTCATCTATAAAATTTAGTTTTTCTTACTTTCATTAGTTCCTCTGCATATACTTAATGCTTATTAAAATGGTAATTCGATAAGATGCGAGTTGAAAGCAGTTGTTAGCAGGGACTTGGCTAGATTTTAAAGGTCTTCTAAAATACTAACCATTCTTTAAGATTATTTTATTTCACTCTAATTCCCATCCAAATTCCAATTTATTCAATATGATAACATCATATACCAATTTAAACAAGATGTGCACTTGAAAAGCTTTGTTCTTTTATAGTTCAAAATAAAGCACATTGTAATACCTACATTACATACAATATTAAATCGAAAATAAAAGGATAATATTATGAAAAATCCTATTTTAATCAAAAAAAATTCACATAATTTATATTTATTCTTCATATGATAAAATATTGTTTTAATAATATCAAATGCATATAAAGGAAAATATAATTATAATTATTTACAATAATAAAGAAGAGAAATGAGAGAGAAAACAAAAAGTACCAAATAAATTCAACTTATCATCTTCATCTGTTAATTAAATTTTCATTTAATTTAAAATATTACAAAAAATATCAAAGTATATACAAAATTTAAATGAGTATAAATGCATGTATGCATTTTACATAAATGTAATATCTTCATTGTTAACCCTATACGAATACATACATTATGTTTGTATCTTCTGTCTTATCTTCTATTTATGTCAGCGCATTTACATTATAATACATTTTTACAATGTATGCATATACAAAATCATTTTATATTCAATTTTAAAATTTATGACATTTCATATGCATTTAACGGTTCTTTATAAAATGCATTTCTATATATACACATACGTTATTCTTATGTAAACAAAATGAATAAAACCGCATGTATCACGTGCATTTCATACTCTCCACACATACATACTTACATAATTACATATTAAGTGTACATACAAAAAAAATTAAATTAAAAATTTCATGCATATTTTGTTGATGTCTTGATAATTTATTGTGTTTTTAAAAAAAAAAAAATATTTTTTTTTCATTTCTTCTTTTGTTCTCAATTTATTTTATATTTATAATTTTTTTTATTATTATTTAATTATACTATTCATTTTTTCTTCTTCTTTTTTTTTCATTTAAAGTTCACTGGCTGTAATAAAGCATTTTCACGGTTAGAAAATCTGAAAATACATCAGAGATCACATACAGGAGAACGACCATATGGTTGTCAGTATCAAGGATGCCAAAAAGCATTTAGTAATAGTTCTGATCGTGCTAAACATCAACGGACACATTACGATACAGTAAGTCAAAAGAAAATTATTTAATTTTCATTCAAATAAGTGTATTGCATCATAAATATTGAATTTGACGTATACTGTTTGACATTTTCAATTCTATAGAATAAGTTTACAAAATATAATAGCAAATGTCATTGTACATGTCAAATTAACTTTTAATAAACCATTATGTCAACTAAAATTTTAATTAAAAACTATAATTATTTAAAGGCTTTCATATTTCCCTAAGATATTTTATTAAAAACATATTTTAGAACTTGGTTCCATGGAAGAGTATTTAAGTTAGAAATAATATTACTTAAAATTAATAATACCCAGGTGAATGTTATTTGTTAACGTGTTACACACATGTATGTGCCAAATGGCATAATTCACTCTCAGCTCAATATTGAGTTTCATGAGCTTGCGTTGCTCTTCTACTCTTTCGCCTTTTTCTTATACGCTCTTCTTACCATCTCTTCATAATAAATTTTTTGTTTCCCTTTTAGACTATGTATTTATTGTATAATTTCAGCCATTTTTTTTGAAAACATGTCATTCAAAATCGAAAATTCGCCATTCCTGAATTCTCTATTTCTAACTTTATATACAATAAAAAAAATTCCCATTCGCCATCTATACTCAATACAAAAAAAAACTATCCATTCGCTTTTAATACGATGTTATTTTAAAGTGTTGATCTTTATTAAAATTTTTATGGTCTCCTTAAAAGGATTGACACAATATTATTCAATTTTAATGTAAATTAAAATTTTTATTATTTTATATTATAAACCAAATATTTTTTTACTATGTATATCTTCACCTCAGACATATAATTCTAATTTCAACAAAAAATATTATTCTAGGATTGCTAATTATGAATATATTATAAGAATTTAGCGCAATTCTGTTATAAAACTTGATAGGAAATTTTCATAACACTAAATTATTTTCTAAAAGACATTAAAAAATAAAAAACAACAAACACAAAATTTAAATTAAATTTTATCATACTTTAATGATTTTTTTTTTAAAAACTTTGAATACTTTAAATGACATTAAAAATATTAAAATAAAATATTAGAGTATAAAAAAAAGAACAAACCAAAATTTAAGATAATTTTTTCAAATATACATATTTACTAATGACGGCAATAAAATGTTTTTATGGGTAATTTTTAACAAAAAAACAAAAAAAAATTAAATATAAAAATTTCTAAAATCAAGGCATTATCCGTACTAAATTCACTTTTTTAATTTCATAATGAATTGAGTTCATATAGTAAATTTTGAATTTGGTGTAGGCGTTTTATTTGTTAAATGTTGTTAATTTCGTATAAAAAAAAAAATTCATTAATTATAAGTTCGTTGAAGCATTAATTCTTGGATAAAATTCTGAGTCATCGCATGCTATGACACACCACCCAAAAATACAATTGAAATTACCTCAAATAAAATAAATTAATTTGTTTTTCATAAATATTGTATTTAAAATTCGAATACATTTATTATATGCAGTTAATAAACATGAGTATGACCAATCCTTGGTATCGTTTTTGTTTTTGTTTTTTGATAATTATTACTATACACAGATTATTGTGCAACATTTTTTTTTTTATTTAAAGTTGTAAGAACGCAATTAAAATAAAATATTTTAATTGCAAAATCAAACAAACAAAATTAATAGAATATATCGAATTTTTAGCCAAATCCTGCTTGTAAAAAAAAAAACAAATTAAATTTTATTTTAAAATTCAAGTTCAAATCGCATGCATCACAAAATTATAATTCTCTTATTATTTTTTATGTAATGCAATAAATATCAAAATATTTTCAATTATATTTCACAGAAACCTTATGCATGTCAATTACCTGGATGCACGAAACGTTATACTGATCCATCTAGTTTACGTAAACATGTAAAAAATCATTCTGTTCGTGATCAACAACAAAATACACGTCGTAAATCAATAAAATCTGAAGTTAATTTATCACCACCATCAACACCATCAACAATAAAATCTAATACATCAAGTTCATTAAAAAATTCTACTTTAAATGCAACTAAAACAGTAACAACAAATGAATTACAAAAGTCATCTGTAGTTACAGCTTTAAAAAAAATTCGTCGTCATTCTGAATCTTCAATAATAGCAACATCAACAACAAATAAATCATCGAATTCTTCAAAATGCACTCAACAAGAAAATCATAATAGTAAATCAATAAATAAACGATCTAAATTGAATTCAGTTTCAATACCAATCAAAAATTTCACATATGAAAATCAGCAAAATGATAAAAATTCTGTACTATGGAACAATAATTCTGTTTCCAACAATATGACAATGACATCCATCACTGACGAATATTTTCCATTTGACGACGTTTTTGTTAGTAAATTCTTATCATGTAGTAATGAAACCGAAAAATTTTCACCAGAAACAAAAACTTCAATTGAATCACTTAATGATAATAATTTAGTCATTTCAAACTTAACTTCGAATTCACCAGTAACAACTATTTCAGATAATAGATATATTTCACATGCATCATTATCATCCTCTCCCTCAACTATTTCTTCATCAAATTTAAATTTTAAACATATAAATGAATATAACTCAATGAATTTTAATGATCTTTCAAATTGCATTGTAACTATTGAAGGAAATAACAATAATAATGTCAACAAAACATTTAATATACAAGCAAATGATAATGATAATAAAAATAATGAAAATTCATTAAATAATATTAATGAGAAAAATAAATTTGTTTCAATTAATCGAAATTTCAATAACGAATTCATTGATTGTCAGCCAAATAAATTTGAACAACAATTTAATATAAATAATAATCATAATAATGATAATAATAGCAATAATAATGAGAATAATGTAATTTCATTAATATCATCATCAAACCATAATGGAATACCTATGATAATGAATAATCAATTTCGTACAATAATTGAAGATCAAAATTCATTTCATCATATCTTTCAAAATCAACAAAATTGTAATCGTCATCATAATAATAATAATGAGAAACTTAATCAAAAATCTCTACCACATTACTCACAATCAAATCATTGCATTCAACAACAACCACAAATTTTATTGAACTCGATTGATGAAGAAATCAATTTGTCAAATAATAAGAGAAATAGTAATAATATACATATTGAAAATACTAATAATAAAAATAGTAATGACAACAATACTAATAATAATAATAATAATAACCACATTAAAAATAATGATAATAAAAATAATAAACAAACTAAAATTTTAAAATCAAATTCAAATTCGACACATCATCAAATAAAATTAATAAAAACTACAAAAATACAATCAAATATACCACAAACTTCATTATCACATTCATCATTACAATCATCAACATCATTTTCATCATCATTAACAATTGTACCAAATACAAATACTAAAATTGAATTTTTAACTAAACCAATCACAAATATTAATAATAATTCTTTATCACCTATAAAAATATCCTTTCCAACAAATAGAACAATAACAAAAACAACAAATACACTTGCAACAATTCCTTCTCCTATAGAACACAATAATAATAATTACAATAATAATAACAACAATAACAGCAATATTACAAATCAATATAATTCAAATAATGAAGTAAAATGTGAAATGACGCCATCTTTATCGTCAATGTCATTATCATTATTAAAATCAAATATTGAACAAAATAATAATATTAATAACCAACATCAAATGACTGTAAAAATACCAACAACACAAACAACAACGGCTAAAACAATACTAGTAAATGCAACATCAATAAGTTCTTCAATAAATAACGCAGCAATAATTAATCAAACGGAAATTCACACGGAAGTCAATAAAAATGGTATAATTACAAAATCATCAGATAACATTCCTATTTCCGCTTTTATGACTGATTCAAATAACGATGCAAATATTAATCAATTTATTGATATTAGTAATAAAAATCAAAATCACAATGACAACAGTAATAGCAGCAATAACAATAATATTAATAATGATGATAAAAATAATGTTATAAATCCTGATGACAATAACTATTCCGATGAATACGTTTCATTCGAATACGTTAAAAAATTATTATTAAATGATGCTACCAATAATAATAGCATGGATTATTTTGATGTTGAAAATATTGAAAATAATTTCGATATGGATTATTTAATCTAAAAAGCATAAAAGAACAAAAACCAAAAAGAAAATCTATTCATTTTACACCTTTTGTAAAACAAAAAGTTAATAAAATAAAGGAAACACACACAAATAGTTTTCATATCAGTTTATAGTGTTAAGATTATTTTCAGTTTACAATAGTGTTAAAAGTATTTTATTTTAAAATTAAATTTTATTTTTAATTACTCTCTTTTGCATCAAAAATATTATTTGGTGTCGAGGTTATTTAGAAATCTGTTTAAAATTGAAAAAAAAAATATATTTATTACAAATAGGTTTGCTATGTAGTTCAATGACAAAAAAATTTTTTAATTAATGTAATTAAATTCCCGCAAATAAGCAGGAAGTTATTAGAATATTATCATATTTTATACAAAAATATATTATTATGTATATATGTTGAAAAACACCAAAGGATATATGAAAAAAAAATGTATTTCCCAAGACTATAATAAATGGCAAAATTTGTATAACAATAGTTAAAAGTTCATCTGGAAAACGTTTTAGCTATTTATACGTAGAAAAGTTTACATAAAACTTTTGGAAAAAGTCTCCTTTGACTCAATATCAACAATAGCAAGTTTCTAGCAAGGATATAATTTAAAATTTTTCTGTACTTTAATATTAATTTTGGTCTGTCTGATTTTTAATTGCATCTGAAATCGACCAATATTATTAATGTAAAATATAAAATTTTAAAAGTCATTTCGGCATGGTGTTGCAAACCGTAATTTTTTTTTTTTTATGAATTATTAGTATAAATCTTAATCTTCCTCCATTCGCCACTCCCCCTCTCGGTAACAACTGTGAATTTCGATTTTAATGTGTTGACCATTGTTCCGCCGAGGGGGGAAAACAAAGCAAGTGTTCAAAAATATTTAAAAATTCCAGATTATTATACTTTTCCCTTAAATAATTTAGATTCGGAATTAAAAATTAACTTGTTATATAAAACATGTGAAAATATCGATCAATTTATCTATATCAACTCCTGTGGTAATATTCAACACATACATCATTAGAATAATAATGGTATTCTAGTGCTGCGAATACATTCACTTCTATACCCAATGTTCAAAAATATTTTAGGAATAAAATATCACAGCTGCAGAATATATTCCAAAATTATTCGACTTCATCCAAAATTTTATTCACTTCTAATTTTTCTGACTCCGGCTCCCACTCATCTATAAAAATTTTAGATTCAATTCCTGTTATGTAATTCGAATCGAATTAAAAATCCTTTTACTTCAAATCCACGCCTTCCAAAAATTGCTGATATTCTATAACGTTAACTATATACAGTTTTATATTTAATGTCTGTTACCAAAGGAGTTGATATAGATAAACTAATCGATATTGCATGATACATCCAAATTTCTTAAAATTAATTAAGGTACCTATGGAATTAATATTACTATATTTAGGTCGTTCCAAATTAAAGTCTTAAATAAAAATTTAATAAATTTTTTAATGTACACTTTGTTTTGTTTGCCTCCTCGGTGGATCAATGGTCAGTGTATTAAAATCGAAGTTCATTGTTGTTACCGAGGGGGCACAAATTAAATATGTTCCAACTAAAAGAGACACATTCTTTAGCATTGGTTTGATCAAAAAAAATTTTAAATTAAAAATTTCATTTCATTTTGTAATTTAAATTTATAGCAAATATTTTTTTAAAACTGTTTTAAATAGAAAATTGTACTAGTTTTCATCTTCATTTCATGGAACTTTAACAATAAAAAAATTACAAAATTTAAAATTTTAAGCTAGTAAAGTACTTAATTAATTAAATTTGCATTTGTATTTAAAAATTATTTATAAGTTATTCGAGGATTCTACCACTTAATTATTGGTAATGTCAAAAATATGAAAATAAAGCCGAAATGTTCAAGTATTTTAGGAATACACCAAATTTCCATCATATTAACAATTAAAGTAATCAATAAGGATTAAAGGGTATATTAAAAATATATTTTGTTTTTCTACATAGAAACACATATATTTTGAAATTTTTTATAATTATTTTGAAAATATTATGGCAATTTTAAATAAAATCAAAAAAAATAATACATACATACATACTTATATGTATATAATATATTATTAATAGCAGCCATTTACATTAATTAGAAAATTTTGTGTGATTTTAAAAGCCACAAAATATAGCAAATCAAATGATATTCCATTGATTTATTAACTGTACATGTACGTATATATATATATATACCTAATTATATATATACGTAGAATAATAACTGTACATGTACGTATATATATATATACGTATATATATATATATATATATATGTACTTAATTATGAACATAACTACATATATTGAATATTGGGACTGCAAGTCCCAATATTAAAACTAAAAAATCATTTAAAATTCTAATATCCTTTTTTGTTGTTGTTTTTTTTTTTTTGTTTAATGAAATATGCACTTTTTTATAATGATAAATTCAAAAATCAGGAAGGAAATATTTTATTTTAACATTATATATAAATAATATACGTACATACATATATACATAAGGATATACAATTCATTTGTTATGCTTAGTTATTATATGTATGTTCGTATGCATGGATTTGCAATAATGAATATTTTAATATAAAATGTAATTAAGTTTGTCATTGAAAATTTACAAATCAGAGAACACAATCTATTGGGAAAATGCGTACATATATAATAATCTATATATACATATATATGATTGTAGTATATGCAGTTTGATCATATTACATTATATTTTGAAATTTATGTAAATTACATTTACATATATTTATATATATATATGTTTGTATATATAATTGCAATGCAGATTTTTAAAAATAAGTACTTAGAATGATACTAAAAAATTAAAAATAATATTTTGATTTAATTACTTTTCCATCATAGAAATAATTCAGTTTTATTTTTTTCTTGTTTAGAAAATATTTTAAAATTACATTGTAGATAGTTATATAAATTATATACATATTTGTAATGCAAATATATGTAATATTACATATGAAATTGAAAAATGTACATACAAAATGAATAAAACAAGAAAAAAATTTTATAATATAATTAAATAATATTGTAAAATTAAGTATAATAACTATGTATATTTTAAATTGGAGCGAAAATTCAAAGGTGCTTTGAATAGTTTTATTATACAAAATTTTTTTTTGACCTACATTATACCCATAAATCCTTTAAAAATTCAAAATGTAAGAGTTATAATATTATACATACAAAATTTCATTAAACTAAATTTTAATTAGAACGAATTTAAGCAAAATAATTCTATAATAATTATTATGACAATTTTTGACAAATTTAATATTATCGTATACTATATATGATTAATTATTATATTTAAATTAATTC